AAAGCTGGAGCTAGGAGTGCTGGTGTTTACCTACAAACTTTTTAAAAGCTGAGGTAGCAATTGTGAACTGCACATGGAGAATCTCTCAACCAACTGCAAAAGCTACAGAGGATACGGAAACCATATGGCAGGTCAGAGCCATTCAAGACAAACGGTTTGCAGTGACGGGCGTGAGCAAGGATGAGCAAGTTGCACACAACTTCCAAAGTGTAGGGAACAAAACACCGATGAGTCCTTATAGCCCTGGCCAGAGAGAGAGAGAACATTGGTATTCTGTTCCAGTTCTGATGGGAAACACCTGGAGAGCTTTAAGCACAGGCATGCGGGTGGTGGTGGGGGTCATAGCTTCGTTTAAACAAAACAGTAACAGAATCCTGGTTCTGCACTGGGAATGATTCCACAGTCTGAAAGAGGGCTGGGTGGGGGTGGGGCATGCCTATACTCCAGCACTCAGGGAGCGAGAAAGTGAGAAGGAATTCAAGCCTGTCCTTGGCCACATGAGACTCTGTCTTCCATGCAGATCTGGGAATGTGGCTCCGTCCAAAGGGTAATTTCCCTGTACGCAGGAGACTCTTTGCTGCATCCTCATCACTGTATAAACGGCGTGGTGGCTCAGGTCTGTAAAGCTAGTATTTGGGAGTCGGAGGCAGGAGTATCAGGAGCTCAAGGCCAGCTTGAACTACATGAGACCCTGTATCAAAAACAACAAAAAATTAAAAGGGGAAGCAAGCATTGGGGGCATGGAATTTTCCAGATGGTGTCTACAGTGGTGGTGAGCTAGGCCTGGGGGCAGGGGGACACCAATAAACCAAGGTTAAGAGAAGAAAAGGAAATCTGAGCTGAAGTTGCACCATTGTATACCAGACAGATTTTAGGTGGGAGGAATCAAAGGTTCTCTTTTGGACATGCCCAGCTGGTGATGCCTCTGGAAATCCAAGCCAGGGTATCGGGTAGCCAGCTGGTTTGTGATGAGAGTGGTGAAGAGGTCAGGGCTGGAAATACAAGTATTAGTAATGTCAGCACACAGGAGATGTTAATGCAACAGAATGGGGTAACTTTGAAGGGTACTGTGGCTAGAGTTAGGACACAATGTGGGAACATCTAAGGCATCTCTAGGACAGGGAGTGACCTGGGGGTAAGCAGAAAGGCAGACCCTCTCAGAGGGCAAAAGAAGTGTTGGTGGGGTGTGTGGCTCAGGGCTAGAGCCCCTGCATAGAATCCCCCAGTGAGGGGCTGGGGGCGTGGCTCAGGGCAGAGCACTTGCCCTAGGTTCACCCCCTAGCACAAAATGAAGAAGGGAAAAAAGGAAAAGTGGAAAGTACATAATGTTTTATGAAGCAGGAAGTCAGTCATCTGGGCCCAGTGCCGCTGAGAGCTGGAAAAAGATACCGAAGACTAGGAAGTTTGTTGCATGGACAGTGGTGACTTCTGTCCTATTCCAGAGAGAAAAGCCTTGATCCAGCATGAGAGGGGTGGGGGTGGGGGTGAGGAAAGAAGAGGAAAACGGAATCCAAGCAATTATTATTTTGGTATGAAAATGACACAGAGCTGGGTACTGTGGTTCATGAGGATAATCCCAGCACTAAAGAGGCTGACGCAGTTCAAGGCCTGCTTGAGCTTTAGAGGGATACGTTTTCTTAGAACACACACACACACACACACACACACACACACACACACACACACACATTTTAAGAGGACCAGTGAGACAGATTAGCAGGCAGCAGCACTTGCTGGCAGGTGTGGCCACCTGAATTTAAACCTTGCCCTGGATCTACACGGCAGAAGGAAAACTGACTCCTACAAGTTGCTCTCTGACCCCCCCCCCCCACACACACATGCCCGTATACCACTCTAAAATAAATGATTTTTTTTTTAATTTAAAAATAAAGGAGCCAGGCAGTGGTGGCTCAAGCCTTTAATCTCAGCACTTGGGAGGCAGGGGCAGGCTGATCTCTGTGAGTTCGAGACCAGCCTGGCCTACAAGAGCTAGTTCCAAATCTCCACTGAGAAACCAACCAATCAATAAATAAGGAAAATGTACAAGCAAGAAGACAGAAAATACACCCCAAATTTCAAGAGCTACTACAGCAGATGGGACTGGGAAGGTTGGGGAGACCCAGAGCCCAGGAGAAGGGGTCGGGGGAGAGCAGCTCGATAGCAGACAGGAAAGACTCAGGAGGACTTCCAAAATTAGGCTATCCTGTCCCCTCTCCAGCTCCTGCAGTTGACATCATGGGGCTTGGAGGCCACCCAGCCCTGAGAGATCCAGGGATGTTTCCTTCGTTCATTCAGAAATGAAAATGCACTCAGTGCTTAGGAATGTCTTCTGGGGACTTGGGGATGCTAGGTCCTTCCATTTTAGAGCTGTGTCCACCTTGTGGAATTTGGAGACAGGTAGCTAAGCCAGGTAGAACAGAGACAGGTCATCAAGGAGGGGTAGGTCACATCTTTCGTAGCCTGGAGAAGGAGCCGTGTACAGGTCAGCTCATTGCAACATGCCATTCATTCGTATCACCGAGCCGAAGTGTCTCCGTCTGGCATTGAAACAGATACTGGGGAGTACCATGGCTACTGGGCCAGTTCGAGGGGCGAGTCAGACACCCAATCACCTCCAATGATAAAGTACAGAGCGGAGCCAGCAGAAGCCGCAGCATGGTTGTCCCAGGGGCCTGGTCACAGCACCAGGCCCACCCAGAGGAGCCACCTTGGGGAAGCAAGGAGGTGGTAGAAGGTGGGTCTCACCTGGATGGTCCACAGAAGGGCTGAGACAGGGAGTGAGGGGTTAAGACTCAGGCCGGGCTGCCATGCCACATGGTAGTCCCTGTCTGGGTCTCCACCCCTGGGGGAGCTGAAACTGCATGGAAGGTTCCCGGCGGAGGGGGGGCGGCACCCCGTCTAATAAATCCAATGTGCACAGTTGCTCTGCTTCATGCCTCCCACCTCCACCCCCACCCCCAATTCCCTGAGGTCTGCCTTTTGTACCTTCCAGGGTACTGAAGACCCAACACTGCAATTGATCTATCTACTGATGCCAGCGTTCTGGCTACAAAGGCCTTTTCCAGGCCTTGGAGTGTAGGCTCAGGCAACTCCTCTTGGAATACAGGTCTTAGGCCTCCTCCTTCAGACCCAGGAGTCTAGGCCCCAGCCTCCTCCCTCAGACTAGGAGTGCACACCCCAGCCTCCTCCCTCTGATCCAGGAGTCTAGGCCCCAGCCTCCTCCCTCAGGCTAGGAGTGCACACCCCAGCCTCCTCCCTCAGACTAGGAGTGCACACCCCAGCCTCCTCCCTCTGATCCAGGAGTCTAGGTTCCAGCTTCCTCCCTCAGACCCAGGAGTCTAGACCTTGCTCATCCTACCTCAGGACCAGAAGCCTATATGGAAGACCTCCTCCCTCACACCTAGTTCAGTTGTTTTTCTCCCTGAAACCCAGAAGTATACTCAAGCCCTCCTCCCTCACACTCAGGAGTTCGGACCAAGTCCCTTCTCTTTCGAAGCCAGAAGCCCACACTCAAGTCCTCCTCCCTCAGACTCAGGGGTCCACCCCAACCCCACCTCGGATCGTTCTCCCTAGCTTCTGGCCCCTAGAACCCAGTAATTCAGCGAGCCAGCGAGTCTCCAGCCCAGCCTGCTCAGGACAGAAACAGAAGTTCTTAATCCTTTACTGGCTCCATAGCCTGCAGATTTGGGAGTTTGGACTTTGCAGCCCGGTCTTCGGACCCTGGGGGTGGGGGGAAACAAGTCTCCTTAAGTTCTGCCTGTTGAAGACCCGGCCCCCAGCCCCTCCTTCCTACAGTCCTCCCTCCCCCGCCCCTCATCCCCTTAAAATACCCGGGATCCCTATGGCAACAGGCGCCCGCAACAGGTGCGGGTGTTATTTACGGGTCGAGCCCGAAATAGCCGGTGGGGTGAGGGGGTGGGCGGATGGGGCGAGGCCGGCAGCGAGCGCAGCAGGTCCGGAGGGCCGATCGGGCGGAGGCGAGCAAAGCCGGACGTTTCGGAGGCACCGCGGAGCTGGGGCCGGCGCGGCGCGGAGGCAGGAGAGCGCGAGGGGCCCGTGCCCGGGAGACCCGGGTGGGAAGACCGAGGGGAGCGCGGGACCCCGAGCTGAGTCTGGAGCGATCCCGGCCGGCCCAGCCCTGGGAGCCAGGGGGAGGGGGAGCCGAGCGACTGAAGACAGACTCACTGAGTGTCCCTTCCCAGGTCCTGTGTCCCCCCAGAGTATTTTGCTCTGCTTTTCCGAGCTACGGTGTGGACCACAGTGCCTTGGACTGAGCCCTGCCGGGACCCCAGGTCTTTCTCCTGGGCTCTCAGAGAGTCCCCCAGCCTCTTTTTTTTTCTGGACCCCACCGTGATTCTTAGCCACCGTGGAGACCTGGGCTCTTTTTCTGAGTAGTTCCTGACTCACCCATCCCCCTCGTTCCCCGGAATTCCAGTGGGGCACCCGGATCTGCTGTGAATACTGGAGGATCCTCCTTGCCTCTCTGAGACTTGGAGCGGTTTCTGATCTCTCCTGGGAAACCTCAATTCCTACTCTTGTATAATCTAAAGTTGTAATTCCTCCCTTTTCAAACTCTGAGCCCGAAGAACCCTACACCATCTCTCTCAAACACACGAAACACCTCAGCTCCCCTCTCTGGGAAAAATTCTGAGGCTTACTGGAGACCCCATCAGCATCCCGAGAGACTGGGCAGGTCTTCTCCCTGGAGCTCCCCAGGGTAGGTGAACCCTCAGAAGAGCCTGGCTTTTTCTCTAGGCCTCACCTGTGCCAAATTCACGTGCACAGGCCCAGGTAGTGTCTGTTTAACCCTACCAGGCATCCTTAGGCCGAGAAAATAGCTTGTTTGTGTACTTGTTTTATTTTTCCTTTCCTGAGAGGCAACGGCCTCTAACATTTGGGGTTCAGCTTTTGCTCATTCCCAATCTAGTTGACACTGAGCCTCCCCCCTTGAAAGTCCAGGTCCTGCTGCCTGTCCCTCGGGCCCCTCTGCACAGGTCTGTCTAACTCCTCGAAGCTCGCCTGAGCTCCGCCTCTCCCATCGTCATGATGATGTGGTCTAACTTCTTCATGCAAGAGGAGGACCGCCGTCGAGCGGCTGTGGGACGGCGTCGCGCCCAGGAACAGCAGAATCTCGGCTTGACTCCGGAGCGCGAGGGCAAGATCAAGCTGGCGTTGCTGTTGGCTACCGTGGGTGCCACGCTGGCTGTGCTGTCGGTGGGCACCGAGTTCTGGGTGGAACTTAATACATACAAGACCAACGGCAGCGCTGTCTGTGAGGCTGCCCACATGGGGCTGTGGAAGGTGTGCGTCAAGCGACTGTGGCAGGCGGACGTGCCCGCGGGCAGGGACACCTGTGGCCCCGCTGAGCTGCCAGGAGGTGAGAGGCTATGTCCTGAGCCTAGGCCTGTGTTCCACAGTTAGGGAGAAAGACGCTTATTTCTGGGAAAACTTCGTTGCAGGGAGAAAAAAAGTCTTATCCCCGAGGAAGAGTTTGTGCCCAGATCAACCGGTGCTCACGGAAACCGGAGAGAAAGTGGGTGGAGGAAGATAAACTCAGACATAGCCCATGCCCTTAAGTAGCATATCCCTTGAAGAAACTTGTTTCTTAAAATTTATCTTCTAACTGTAGCCTGTGCCCCAAACCCGCCTGTACCCCTTAGAGACAGCCTGTGCCACCAGACCCAGCTGGTACCCTCAGAACAGCCTGTAACCACCCCCGCCAACCCATATCCCCTAGAACTGCCTGCATTCCCCATCAGACAGCCATGCACCCACAGACAGCCTGTGCCCTTAACTAGAAGCCTGGAGACATCCCACATTCCCGCTCTGTGAGCCTCTGTGCAGACAGACCACCCTACGCCCACCCGGAAGTAAAAAAAAAATCTGTGCTGATTCCCTGCTTGTGAATATAATCACATGGAGTTCTTATCGGGTACCCCTCACAGTTCTGGGTGTACACTGTCTGTCCTGGGAAATGTTTTATTTCCAGTCCCTCTCACCTCTATGCGGTCAGAGTGGGCATTCCAACCCTCCCTTGCCCTACAGACGGCCCACACACTACATTTTCCCACGGGTGACTCCTTTGCGCTCAGCCGTGCCAGCGAGCTATCCTGTACCTCTCACTCTCTGACAGACATGCTATGCCTTTTCCTTACACAAGTGGAGCATTCTGTACCCCCCCCCAACTGGATAGGTGTTTATTTTACCTCTTTTGACTCAAGGACAGTATTTGACACCCATCAAAAACTTTGGATATCATTTGTTTGATGAGCTCTGGCGTGCTACTCCCCAGTGTGTACCCGATGGTCTCAGGACTCCTCAAGGAAGACCTTTCACCCCCTTCCAGGCTCTGGATGGATCTCCTCTCATTCCCCAACCCCTATTTTTCCAGATGTGACATGGAACCCGACATGGGGTTTTGAAGTGGGAAGCTCTGTTTGCGGCTTGAGCTACCTGTCTGTCCTGATCTTAAACAGCTATCGTAAACAGTTCTTTTCTGGTGTTTATCACTGCCCAGAACCTCAGTCAGGATGATCCCCAAACTTTGCAAAAATGGGACAATGTAAAGGGATCCAGGATGCTAGTTGGGCCTGGAGGTGCCATTCTGTAATCATAAGTACTCAGGAGGCAGAGGAGGACTGTGAGCTCAAGGGCAGCCTGGGATACAGGGAGAGTTCAAAGTCAGCCTGGGTGACTTTGTGAGATCCTCTGTCTCTGTCTCTCTCTTTGTGAGACAGTGTTTCTCTGTGTAACAGCCCTAGCTGTCCTGGAACTCCCAGAGATCACCTACCCCTGCCTCCCCAGAGCTGGGATTAAAGGCATGTGCCACCACTGCCCAGCCCTGAGATCTTCTCTTAAAAAGCAAAAAGAGGGCTGGTGGCATGTCTCAGTATGCCTAGAATCTCTCATTAAGGAGCTCGGGGGTGTAGGTCAGTGGTAGAACATCTGCCTAGAATCCCCCAGTGAGGAGCTGGGGTGTAGCTCAGTGATGGATTATCACTATACCTGTTCTACTTGAAGAAAAATAAGGGGCAAGGACTCTTGGTGTCCGGTCTGTGCCTCAGGGTAGTTCTATGGGGTCTGACCCTCAGATGTGTGTCACTAGAGCTTAGGAAGGTCTCAGATACCCTCACTCTCAGAGAGAGAAGACTGTCCCCTGCCACTTCCCTGTGTATGATGAGATCCTTCATACATCTTACTGTTCTCTCTACTTGTCAGGAAGGAATTCACCCCAGAGCATGGCTGCACACACACCAGTAGTACTCAGGAGACAGATGCAAAAAGACCATGAGTTCAAAGCCAGTTTGGCTACATAGTGAGTTGTAGGCCAGCCTAGGCCACATAATACCTTGTGTCAAAAACAAGAGGATGTCACCTTTCTTACAAGGACTTTCCCAGCATCCCATAATTCTGCCCCACCAGAGGACCTCTCTTGGACTCCACTGCCTCAAAGAAATAACTGCACTCGAAAATGAAAAGAAAGCCGTTATATCCATTGGCTATCAGAGAGCGACTCACTCTGTTGCTTCCCAAGTGAGTTTGCCCTATGCTCTGGGGGACATGGACACAAAGTCCTGTTATCAGCAGCCAGATGGGATGCCAGGTACCACACCCAGCCCCGGAAGAGACTCTGTATTCTCTCGTGGGTATAGAATGTATCCTTTACCAGTGGCTACAGAGAGCATCTGCCTTTCACAGGATGTGCCCTTTGCCTCTTGGTGCTGTAGGATGAGGGGCTGACACTGGCAGCTGTTCCAGCCTGGAAACTACAAACCTTTCTTCACCAAGCTGATATCAGGCATATGTGGCTTTACCCCCTTGTCCCTTTGTATCTCCCTTCTATTGACAATGTTTCATTTCCACTTCTGCACCCTTCTCAGAGTTGCACACCCCTCCCTTCTTTAGTTGGCACGGTGTTTGCCTAACATGCACAGAGTCCTGAGTTTGATCCCCAGCATCACGAAAACCAGGCATGGTGCCACACACCTGTAGTTCTAACACTTGGGAGGCGGAGGTGGGAGGGTCAGAATTTCAAGGCTGTCCTTTGCTTCACAGCAGGTTCAGGTGAGCTTAGGGTACAGGAAACCCTGTCTTAGCAAGTCAAACATTCTGTTTTTAATGCTGAGCTTTCTCATATTTAAATTAACAACAGTATTGAGTGAATCTTATGTATGTTTACATAAAATGTTTACATAAAAATTATTGTCTGCTTTCACAAGGTCCTTCTTAAAATTTTATTTCTTTTTAAAGACAAGGCCTCATGTAGCACAGTCTGGCACCACATTTTCCTACTTTTAAATTCATTTCCCAAGCTGTGCACGGTGGTACACACCTTTAATCCAAGTTCTAGGGAAGCAGAGGCAGGACAAACTCTGTGAATTTGAGGCCAGCCCAGTCTGCTTAGCAAATTCCAAGACAGCCAGGGCTACACAGGGAGACCCTGTCTCAAAAAGAATTCTTTTTTTAAATTCAGTCCTCTTACGTGTTTGACATTTGCATCCATGCACTCATGGTTTGACTTGGAAATATATGTTTGGGTTTATATACATGTGAGTTTTGATTTGAAGAAATGGTATCATGTGATTTTATATATTGTTTTCAATGTAATGTAACTTTTTTCTTGCTCAACACTGATTTCCAAATCCCTCTCACTTGCTTTGTGTTTCTGCAATTCATGGTGACTCTTTGTTATAAAGATGTCCATGAGAGCATCTATTTCAATTGTCTGTTGCCCAAGAAATGGACACTAGATTATTTCCTGTTCATCTTAGTAAATAATGTGACAGAGAACAACCACATCTATATTCCTATATGTGGCATTTTTTAATTTTTGGAATATCCACAAGTGAAATTATTGTGTCATAGGGCAAAGACATACAGAGATGTGTCACTTAGTGGTAGAGATGTGTTCTGAGAAATACACATATAAGCCCATTCATCTTAAGAACACCGGAGTACTTAATGCAGATTAGGATGGCTTCTATGTGACATAATCATGACTTATTTTACTTTTACTTAATTATGTGTACATGTGGAGACTGTGTACCTGTGTGTGAAGGCCCAGGAAGGTGCAGAGAGTCCAGAAAGGGGATTGTAGGTGTTATGATAAAAGTGTGAGGGGAACCTTGGTGGGTTCCATGTCGGGTGGGGATGATCGAGGCGCAGGCGCGGGACAAACATGCCAGGCTGATGAGCTTAGTGAGAAGTTTTATTAGAAAGGGGAGGGAAGGGAGAAGGAAAGAGAAAAGGGACACACAGGCAGAGAGAGGACAGAAGAGAAGAGGGAGACAAGAAGAGTCCTGCTCCAGGGGCACAGCAGGAGAGAGCGTAAGTGGGCCGGGGTCTTTCTTTTAAAGGCGTCCTTTGCACCTCCATGCGGACTAGTAGTCACGGAATTCTGGGCTGACCAAGATACTGCCTGAGTACATTCTGCCAGGTGACAGGGGCAGGCCAGCATAATGCCTGAATCCTTACAGTAGGTATCAGGACCCTAACTCAGGCCCTCAGCAGAGGTGGTATATGCTCTTAACCTCAGAGCCATCTCCGCACACGCTTTTATTGTTCGTACACACGGCCCATAACTGACTGAACGGTTATTACCTGCTGTACACCTGTGCTTCACTTTCTAAGTGTGTCAGAGTCCTTCACATACAGTCTAGTGCCAGTTTACACTTCCAGCTGCTGCCTCTCATCTCCCCTCAGTGCTTCCTACTGCCCTTTTCAATATTTGCCCAACTAATTGATCTGAAGTGGTACTTCCCCCGCTGGCTCAAGTTGCTTTTCCCTGACTCCCGCTGCCACCGAGTCTCTCTTCGCGTACTTGTGAACTATCCAGACTTGCCCTCCTGTGAATAACTATTCATACCCTTTGCCCGTGTTTCAGTGGGGTTACTTCTCTCCCCGCCTTGCTAATCTGCAGGAGCCCTTTGTGTATGCAGCTTGGGAGAGAGGCATCTTTCACCAGTCTCTTAGCCTCCTAGTACTTGCATCTCCGTGTCCTTCAGTGAATGGAATGATAATTCATTTCCAGTCCACTTGCTCCTCAGACTCACATGAAGGAGCCGGGAGGGAGATTGTCAGCTCGTTTAAAGAGGAGGAATCTGAGGGTCCAGAGAGGTTAATGGCTCACTTGTGCCAAAGGCAGGGCTTGGGGTTAAAACCGCAGTCCCTGGACATCAGTGAAGTGGCAAATGGTATTTACATCTCCGTGTCATTTTCCATCTTGGTGCATTTATTTTTTTTTTATTCGCCTCCCCCAACTCTCTCTCTCTCTCTCTTTCTCTCTCTCTCTCTCTCTCTCTCTCTCTCTCTGTGTGTGTGTGTGTGTGTGTGTGTGAGAGAGAGAGAGAGAGAGAGAGAGAGAGAGAGAGAGAGAACACTCTCTCCTCCCATGTGGATTCTAAGGATTGAACTCAGGTAGCGAGGCTTAGCAACAAACACATTTATGTGCTGCACAATTGCGCCAGCCTGATTTTTCTCTGCTGTGTGTCAGCCATAGGAATATTCTATTTTTAGCCACCTGTGTCTGTGTAGTGTCCAGTCTTGAGCTTACACAAAACTTCATACCATCACCTCCCTTCTTTTCTTTCCTGTGCCCCACAGAGGCAAACTGCACCTACTTCAAATTCTTCACCACGGGGGAGAATGCATGCATCTTCCAGCGAACCACCAAGAAAGGTGAGGACAGACATCTCATATTGTGACAAGGGAGGCCTGGGGGTAGGGTGGCAGCTCTGAAGGAGTGAGGGACAGCATTGTGCTCAGGATGGGCTATCCCATATTTGGAGGGTGATGGTGGGTTAAGAGTGGGGACAGTGGCCGGGCGGTGGTGGCACATGCCTTGAATCCCAGCACTCTAGCACTCAGGAGGCAGATGCAGGCAGATCTCTGTGAGTTCGAGGCCAGTGTGGTCTACAAAGCAAGTTTCAGGACAGCTAGTACTGTTACACAGAGAAACCCTCTCTCAATAAATAAACAAACAAACAAATAAATAAAACAAAACTCAGGAACAATGATCACCAGACCTGTGTCCAGCACTCTGGCCACCAACTCTGCCTGTACTTCGTGGCCTGTGTGTATGGAGCATTATATAAGCATTTTAGGATACTTTACACGCTAAGATCAGCACCTGAGGTTTGTCAGCACAAACTCTAGTTCTTGGTATCAGCTACTTTAGCTTCAACGTCCAGGTGAGAAAACAAATCAGAAATGGTTGAGAGTACTACTGTCCATCCCCCTACACACACACACACACACACACACACACACAGAGAGAGAGAGAGAGAGAGAGTCAGGGGTACAATCCCAATCCCAAATAATCTGAATCTACAGAGCCCTGTATGAAAAGCGAAAATGTGTGTGTACACTGGTCCATATGATGGCCTCAAACCACATGGGACTGTGGATGACTAGGAAGGTGGCTGGTGTGATGGGGAAAATGTGCTTTTGATTTTAAGTTCAGTGCACTTAAAATGGAATGTGCGTCTGGTAGCTACCACTGTGCCGAACAATGCAACTCTGAGCACTTTGTCCTTTCTACCCCAAGTCCAGCTTCTTGAGTATCACTCCAGTGCCTGGTGTCTCCGCAGAGGAACTGGGGTCATTTCATGTCTCTCACTTTTTTTTTCAAACTAAGGATTTAATGCAACTAAACGTGTGAGTCCTGGCACATACTAGGGCCCAATATCGTCTCCAACCTCCTCACATGAGCTGAGTTAAGTCACTGTGCACCTCTGAGATGGTAAAATAACTTGGTGCACTCATCTGGGTCACCTACTATATCCTGAGCACTACACTGGTGGGCACTTGATGCAATGCCTAACCCTGACTTTCCAGAGCCGAAGACTTGAGAGGGGTGTAGGTCTTAACCAGAATTTTCTGGCTGGGAAGTAGTCAGGGAAGATTACAACCTGGATGGTTGCAAGATGGCGAATCACCTTTGTCACTATCCCCTAAAGCCTGCTCTGTTCACTTTGCCATCTGTTATTCTAGTATCCCTGACATGGCCTTGTCCACCCCTCCCCTTTTTTTTCTCTATAACCTGAGCCATCCAAATCTCCATTCTTTTGGTTTTTTGAGACAGGTTTTCTCCGTGTAGCTTTAGAGCCTGTCCTGGAACTCGCTTTGTAGATCAGGCTGGCTTCAGACTCACAGAGATCCACCTGCCTCTGCCTCCCGAGTGCTGGGATTAAAGGCGTGCGCCACCTCCGACTGGCCCCTGTCTCCACCCTTTCGACAGTGTTAGTAACATGCTCTCAGGGTGACTTTGAAGTCTTCCATCCTTCTGGTCTTGCTTCTTGAGGAGGAGTGCTGTCTATTCTTCCGTTCCCATGTTCTCTGCCTCTTCCTTGGCCCCTCCTTGCAGAGGTAAACCTGGCAGCTGCTGTGATAGCCGTGTTGAGCCTGACAGCCATGGCCTTGGGCTGCCTCTGTGTCATCATGGTACTCAGTAAAGGTGCAGAGTTCCTGCTCCGCTTGGGAGCTGTCTGCTTTGGCCTCTCAGGTGAGGGCTGAGTGTGTGGAGGCCAAGGACATTGCATGCTGGGATGTGAGGTCTCTACACACTGTTGCATGCTGGGAGGTAGATCTCTGCACACTGCTGCATGCTGGGAGGTGAGTCTCTACACACTGTTGCATGCTGGGTGGTTGGCTCTCTACCAGTTGTTGCATGCTGGAAGTTAGCATCTCCACACATTTGAGTGCTGAGCAGTGGGAATTCTACACAATGTTGCATGCTGGGAAGTAGAATCTCCAAGCACAGCTGCATGCTGGGAGTGAAGAGAAACCCAAGAGCTCTAGTGGGCTCAAAGATGGACGAATTCCAAGGACTCTTGCTGTCAAGGTTTATTTAGAGTTAAATGCTCTTATACATTTGAAGCTGCAAGTGCTAAGACTCTCTGTGCAATGAAAATGGAATCTCTCTTCACTACTCCGTGCTGGGAGTAGAGAAGGTGTCTGTCCAAGGGCTGTAGTAGGCTCAAAGATGTAAGAATTACAAATCACGTTGTTAGGAAAGGAGTGAATGTCTCCAAATACTATTTTAGGTTTGGACACAGGGTCCCCAACACTTGTTTGGTGTTAAGGGGGTGGGGTTGATCTCCAGGCGCTTTTATATGCCAGGAGTTGGAGTGAGTTTATGTAAAATCTAAAAGCTAGAAGCATTCTAAACACTGTTGTTGCATGGCAGTTGAATTCTCTCCAAGCACTCTTTTAGATTTGGCCTGGAATCTCCAACACTGTTGTGTACTTGGAAGTAAAGGCAGGACTTTCGGTAATATTGCATTCTGGGAGGTCAAGGAAGCTCAAGGGTTCAGTAGGTCTCAAGATGAGAGAGAGTCTCAAGCCATTAAGAAGGTTTCCAAACAGTCTTTGAGTTTTGGACTTGGAGTCTGCAGAGACTGTGTTGTATTCTTTTTTTTTTTTTCTTTTAAGATAGATCTATCTGTCTGTCTGTCTATCTGTCTCTGTGTGTTTATGTGTGTGAGTGCTCTGTCCTCATGCATAGCAGAAGAGGCAATCATATCCCATTACAGATGGTTATAAACCACCATGTGGGTGAAGTCGGGGTATTAATAAGTTCACTAGACCCAAAGTAAATGATAAATGGGTGTTTTATTGGGGAACAACTTACACAGACAATAGTAAAGAACCACTGTGGCATTCCTGATCCAGAAGATGCAGTCTCTGCCCTTGCATTGTGACCCATCATCCAAAAGAGAGAGCCTGCCCTGTGCTTCTCTACAGTCACATCCACACCTGAAGCCACTCCCAAAGGGGCGTGGCCACTAACACAAATTCACTGGCAAGGTGAGATGTTACTGCTTGTGGGTGCTGGGGAATTGAATTTCAGTCGGTCCTCTTAACCACCAAATCATCTTTCCAGCCTCATATGTTGCATTCTTGGAGGTGGGCATTCAGAAAAAAGATGTTACATCTTGTGAAATCAGTAATAACAAAAGACTTCAGTTTAGTCCACCTCTGCCTCAAAGCTTTACATTGAGTGGACTAGCTGCAGGTCGCTAACATTATTTATTTATATTTATTTTATATGTGTGAATGCTTGCCTTCATGCATGTCTGCTCACCACATGTGTGCCTGGTGCCTGAGGAGTCCAGAGAAGGGTGTTGGGTCCCTTGGAACTGGAGTTACAGATGGTTGTGAGCTACCATGTAAGTGGTGGGAACACAACCTAGGTCCTCTGTATGAGAAGCCAGTGCTCTTAATCACCAAGCCACCTCTTTAGCCCCAAAGGTTACTAGTCTTCCTTTTGTTGGTAAGAACACAGAAGTTCAGAAAAAAATCAAGTGGCTTCTCATAGCCATACAACCACTAATGGAAGAGGTGGGACTTTTCTTCTTTTAAAATTGTTCACAATTTTACGAGCATACATACACAAACACGTATATATGATGTGTGATACTTTGTCCACATCCCTACCCCATGCATCCTTCCTTGTCCCTCTCCTGCCAACCCCCTTGTTTCCAAGTCCCCCTTCAAATTTCGTGGCTTTCTTTTTGGTTATCCACTGCATTTAATTAGGATTACCCGCATGGGTAGGTTATTTACTTGTCCAAAGTCAGCTTACTAGTGGCTACAACACTACTAAGGAATATATCTCCCCTTGGCCAGAAACCATTAACTACCTATATCTCCCACTTCTATAATGGATTGTTGATGGACCAGTCTTATGCAGGTAGCTACCCAGAGGCAAGGTATGATGTTAAGCTTTCTTGGCCTCTTTTTCACTGAACTGCATTATTGAATTTTGGGACTTTTGTTTCTGTGGATCGTTGTAGGCTTAGAGCTGGTATGTAGAATGAATGCTTAACTGGAGACCTTTTTTATTTATTTATTTATTTTTTTAAATGCCTTACCAAGGGTGCTGGCTGTGTCTTGAATCATGGTGTGTCATTGGTAAATTCCTTCTGTTATGCAGAGCTTCCTTGTTGAGCCAGATGCAATGATTAGAAAAATTATTAATCTTACAGAGTTCTTTATTCTTTGTATGCTTGGAGCACTTGCTATTTTCTAGGAGATGCTACAGATATAAGACTAAGTCAAATAAGATACCATGTCTGCTATCAACTACTATTGTGATGGGATTGGATATGAAGGCTACACTGCCATGGGATTGCATGTCAAAGAAACTCCCCAAAAGAATGACATTTAAACCGATGGTCAAAGGATAATAGGAGTTACCCAAAGTGTGGCATTGACAATCAAAGTGGCGACAGGCGATGTCAGAGATGACGACGGTGTCAATGCTAATAATGATGGTGGTAGTGAGAGTGATGATGGGGTGGTGATGATGGTGATTATGATGGAGTGATGGTAATGAAGGTGATGATGATGATGATGATAGGTGGTCATGATGGTAGAGATGGTAGTGATGACAGTAAGGGTGATGATAGTGGTGTTGGTCATCACAGAGGGGTGAGGGTAGGGATAGATATCTTGGTGGCAATAGGTTGTGATGATGGTAGTGATGACAGGGTGGTGACTCTAGAGATGATAATGATTGATGTTAATATTTATGTGGTAGCTGTACGGTGGTGGTGTCATTGCATTATCTGTGATGGTGGTGATAATGATGGTGATAGTGATGGATGTTATCCACTGTACCCAAGTGTTGATTCCAGCACTTATGTTAGGCAGATCACATGCCCCCCCACTCCAATTTGAGAGGATCCAATACCCTGTGTGGGTATTGCACTCACATAGCGCGCGCGCACGCGCGCGCGCACACACACACACACACACACAGAGGGGGGGAGAGGCATGCACACCTGCACAAATACACCCTTAGTTTCTTCTCCCTACCACATACCACTCTCTGAAATCCTCTTTCCTCCTCCTGTATTTCTTTCAGAAGGTGCAATGTGGCAACCATTAGTAAGTGATGTCTAATTTGTGTTCTTCGTTTGGCAGGAGAGTCTAAGTATTTCTCAGATTTCCCATAAAAAACTAGCTAGGTATTGTGGTATTATCATAATCCTAACACTCAGGAGGCCAAGGCAAGAGAATTGTGAGTTAGAGAGCAGCCTGAGTTACATAGCAAGACTCCATCGTAAGCCAAGAAAACAAACAATTCCTTTAAAAACAATTTGGTTGCAGCTGGAGTGACGTCTCAGCGGTTAAGAGCACTGGCAGCTCTTCCTGAGGACTCAGGTTCAAGTCAATAGCTCCAGTCCCAGGGGATCTAATGCCTCGGCGGGCATTGTGTGCACATAGTGCATAGACAAAAATATAGGCAAATTACCCGTACTCGCACAAATGTTTGACAGGTGTGGTGGCACAAGCCTTTAATCCCAGCACTTAGGAGGCAGAGGCAGGAGGATTTCTGCGAGTTCCAACCCAATCTGGTCTACATAGCAAGGTCTAAGACAGCCAGAACTACATAGATCCTGTCTTGACCTCTGCCCCAACCCAAATAGAAGTGATTAAGCCAGGCAGAGTGGAAAATGCCTGTAACCCCACTATTTAAACAGACAGAAGAGGGTTTCTGCAACTTCAAAGCCAGCCTCGTCTGTATGACTTCCGGGGCAGCTCGGGCTATAGGAGACCTTGTCTCAAAGTGAAGAAATGGGAGGCTAGGGAAATGGCTCAGTCAATAAAGTGCTTACTGTTGCAAGCACAGCAACCTGAGTTTAATCTCCAGAACCCATTAAAAGCAAGGCAGCTTTTATACCCTGTACTTTATAAGTCTATAATCCCAGCAGGGTGGCAGAAACAGTGAGTCTAGCCAAATTAGCGAGCACCGGGCCAACGAGAGGCCCTGTCTTCAAAAATGAGGTGTAGGGCTTGCAAGATGGCACAGCACACATAGGAACCTGACAGCAAGCCTGATAACCCGAATTCACTCCCCAAGTCCTGCATGGTGGAAGGAGAGGGTTGATCCCCACAAGTTGTCCTCTGACCTCCACGTATGTTCCTGGGTGTGCACATACACTCACCAAAATGTCATTTAAAGACATTTTTAAAACAAAGTGGGAGCTGGGGGGTGTAGCTTTGCAGTAGAGCACTTACCTAGCAAATACAAAGCCCAGGTTCAATCTCCAGTGCCTGGAAAATAAAGTGGGAATAATTGGGAAAGGTACTTTGCATTGACCTCTGGCCGTCACACATACACACATGGGCAGGCACGCACACATGCATGCACACACGCACACACACATGGAAGGGCAGGCAATAACATGTCTTCATGTAAAGCACAGATGTAATATTTCCTGTGTCCCATCGGTGGGATGAAGATGACTGTTGAATGACTGGGGGAATAGCTTAAGAAGATCCTTGGATGATAAAGGGGGTTGATAAAGGGCTGAAGGGGGTGACAGTCTCAAACCCGAACTGGAGTCCCAGGTTCACCTGCATGTATGTCTGTGTAAGGGTGATCTTGGAGTTACAGGTGGTTGAGAACTGCCACATGGGTGCCGGGAATCGAACCCAGGTCCTCTGGAAGACCAGTTGGTTCTCCTAACCACTGAGCCATCTCTCCAAGCCTGAGTCTCACTCTGTTGTTCCTCCACAGGCCTGCTGCTCTTTGTCAGCCTGGAGGTGTTCCGGCATTCCGTTAGAGCCCTGCTTCAGGGAGCCAGCCCTGAGACTCCCCCAGCTCCACGTCTGACCTATGAGTATTCCTGGTCCCTGGGCTGTGGTGTGAGTGCTGGCCTGATCCTGCTGCTGGGGGGAATCTGTTTCCTGCTGCTCACCCTGCCTTCTTGGTCCTGGGGGTCACTGTGTCCCAAGCGGGGTGACCCGACCACCTAGAGCCCTGTAGGCATCTGCCAAGCCTGCCTCAGTTTCCAGCTTTTCCCTCAAGGCTTTCCATGTCTCTTCTAGAGAGTCTCTTCTTCCCACTCTGAGGGCCCATGCCACAGAACGTCTTGGTTCCTTAACTTCTCTCTGTAAATAACACTTTGGGGGTGGGTGGGTTGGGAGATGGCTCAGTAGGTAAAAGTGCTTGCTGAGCAAGCATGAGGACTTGAGTTTGGGCCCCCCAGAACCCACTTTAAAGACCAGATTAGTGGTATGTGTCTGTAATCCCAGGGTTGGGAAGGCAGAGACGGAGGTGGGGGGTGGGAAGCCCGGGGCTCACTGGCCAGCTAGCCTAGCCAATTAATGAGGTCCAGGTTTAGCATTAACAAAGGTGGATGCTATAAAGGAAGATGCCTGATGCTGAACTCTGACTCCCCCATGCACACACACAGATATGTTATTCTTGGTGGCTGAATTTAGGTTGCTTAGAGCAGGATGGGAAGAGGCTACGTGCAAATTTGGGCTCCCTGGGGAACCTTCCAGGGACCTCATGGGGAGATGAGTTGGAGCTGGAGGGGCAGCAGGGGTCCCAGAAGGATTTGAGGACTGTGCTGACTCACTTGAGGGAGGGATGTCCTATGATGGCCTGGTGGGGCAGGGAAAAGCTGGGTCTGACATCACTGTGATCTGATTTGGGATTAAAGCTTTGAAGATGTGACAGCTTTGGTTTGGAGCCTGTCTGTGTGGAGCTCATGTGTTCTAGCAAGGAACTCCTGTCTTCTCCATGCACTGGAGACATGCTACTGTCTACTTGTTCACATGCCCACATATACAGATGAGAACATGGAGAAGGTAACAGTCCAGAATGCAGACATGAGCTCAGTTTGAACATTGGGGACTCTCACTTCAACCTTACTTGGTTATAGTTCCCTCAGTGTGTGTGTGTTTATGCATGGTCATTGTACAAAATGTTGGGTTTCGTTTAATTTTTTTTGAGACAGCGTTTCTCTGTGTAGCTTTGGAGGTGGTCCTAGAACTCTCTCTATAGACCAGGCTGTCCTCAAACTCACAGAGATCCACCCACCCCTGCCTCCTGAGTGCTGGGGTTAAAGGCGTGCGCCGCCGCCGCCGCCGCCGCCGCCGCCGCCGCCGCCGCCGCCGCCACCGCAGCCGCCACCACCACCACCACCACCTGGTTCTCATATGACTTTTTAAAGATTTATTACTTTTTGTTTTATGTGTGAATATTTTGCCTGCATGTCTGTGTACCTTGTGCATACTTGGTGCCATCAGAGGTCAGAAGGAGGGCATCAGCACTCCTGGAGGTGGAGTTACAGATGGCTATGAACCACCATGTGAGTGGGAATCAAACTGTGTCCTCTGCAAGGGCTATAAGTTCACTTAACTTTTGAGATGTCTCTCCAGCGCCTCATGTGACATTCTGTAGAAATGTATTTGACCACCTCATCCTCCTCCCCCATTCCCCTCTCCTACTTATTACCAAGTAGCCCCCCCTTCTATTTTAGTTTATTTTTAAAATTTGAGGCATAGTCTTATGATGTAGTCCAGACTGGCCTCAAACTCTCAGTATCCATGCCTCAGTCTCCCAAGTCCTAGGGTTTCAGGCATAAACTACCATGTCCAACTCTGAAGATGTGTTTGCTGTTTTGTTTGCTCTGAGATGGCATCTTGCTTTGAGCTCCTGGCTTGTCTAAATCCCATTATGTAGCCAAGGCTGGCCGCAAAGCTGCAGTGATCCTCCTGCCTCAATTCTGGAGTCATAGGTGTGTTTCTGGAGAGCAGGTCTTTGCAGACGGAATCCCAACAAAGCAAGGTCACCGGGGTTGGCTCTGATTCAACCCAGCTTGTGAAAAGGAGAGATTGGGGACACAGAGACAGTTACTCACAGAGGGAAGACTGAGGAGGGACCCAGGAAGAAGACAGCCATCTGTACACTGAAGAGGGAGCCTCAGAAGGAAGGAAGCAGGATGCTCAACCTGTATTTTATACTTAACCATAAGGCGGCAGGTTTGTTGTCCAAGCACCTGGCAATGATTTGTGACAACATCCCCAGCAGGTGAATCCAGACTTTGGCACTCAAGAATGTGGGTGCTTCTGGGATAGAAACTGAAAAACGGAGAGTCTAGTGGTGGTGGTGAACACCTTTAATCCCACCACTGGGTAGGCAGAGGCAGGCGGATCTCTGTGAGTTCGAGGCCAGCCTGGTCTATAGGGTGAGTTCCAGGAGAGGCTCCAAAGTTACAGAGAAATCCTGTCTCAAAAAAAAAAAAAAAAAAAAAAAAAAAAAGGAAAAAAGAAAAAACCCCAAACAAAACCCATTGTGTATAAGCATTGTATCTTAGCCCTACGTACGTCCAGTTCTGCCCTCGAACTCCCACAAGGCACCCCAACACATATTCATATGCTTTCACACACGCACCCCTTTCCATTTTCTCTGGTAACGTACTGAGTCCAGTTAATGCTTCCTGCTGGAGTGTTGAGTGATCTTTTTGCCTTGATCTTGTGCAGGGGACCAGTGCTGTGTCAGGCCCGGGGCATAGCTCTTAAAAGCCTTTCTGGCTGCTCCCTCTCCCGAAATGTTCCCAAAGCCACCATGAAATGGGGGCCTTGCATCAGATCTAGAGTCTTTCAACAAGAAGACCGCCTTCATCTCTTACGATGAGCAGTCTTTCCCTGCTCACACACCACTGTGTGCCGGGCACTGGTCCAAGTGTTTTATAATGTGGTGCAAACCCGCTAAACTTATGCTGGTGATGGCTCAATAGAAACACAAGGCATCTCTGGGCGGTGGCGGCACACGCCTTCGATCGCAGCACTCCAGAGGCAGAGATGATCTCTGTGAGTTTGAGGCCAGCCTGGTCTACAGAGCGAGTTCCAGGACAGAATCCAAAGCTACAGAGAGAAATGCTATTTCAGAAAAAAAAATAAAAATAAAAAAATAAAAAAACCCCAGCCCATCAGAACTTAAGTGTGGCCTTTCTCAAAGCTATATAGCTACTATGTGGAGAAGGTAGAATTCTCAAGCCTTTTGCATCACAAGTCTGTTTGCTATGAAGCTTAGAATTATAAGAGAATCCAGAATGATATGCTCAAAACTCAGGTGTGCCGTTTGTGGTGGCCCAGGCCTTTAATCCCAGCACCCAGGAAGCAGAGGCAGAGGCAGGCAGAGCTTCAAGACAGCCAGGGCTGTATGTGATGATACCCTGTCTCAAAAATAATAACAGGAAACTCCCTCAGACATTTGAGTCCCTGAGAATAAAGCCCCCATGTTGTAATCCATGCATTTGTAATCAGTTGTGAAGATTCTTATGAGCCAGACCTAATTATGAAGAAACCACCAGACAAAATCTAAAAAAAAAAAAAAAAAAAAAAAAAAAAAAAGAACATTCCTGAGCATGACGTCGGCCACGGGCAGAGGAAAGACACTGATACAGGCAAGCTGGAGATGGACAGCTAGCAGAGGAGTATGCGGTGTGCGGTGGCAAAGGTTGGTGACTATGAAATGACAGCAAATGCTGTCAAAGATGTGGGGGCCGCTGAACATTTATTCACTGTGTAGGCACTGTGTAGGCAGGGTGGAGGTTTCTCAAAACAAAAAAAAAAAAAAAACAGAACCACCGTGTTCTATAACTACCCAGCTATACCATCTTGAGCATGTGTCCCGACACATCCCTGTTCACCGCCATGCTGTTTACGTGACTAGGAAATGTCATTCATCAGATGTCCAGTACAGACAGGTGAATTGTGTGGTGCAGGGGCCGGAGAAATGGTACAAACTTGCTGCACAAGTTTGGGGGTCAGATTCCACAGAACTCACAAAATGCCAGGTGGGGTTGGTCAGCCAGAATGACGTGTGAAAACGTATGTACTAAGAAAACGTGTTACGTTGTGTGATTATTTTAAAAGGGGGAATTCTGGGCTAAAGAGATGGGTCAGCCAGAGACAGGGTTTACTGATTAAGAACACTGGTTAGTCTTGCGGAGGACCTGGGTTTGAATCCCAGCCCCCACTGGGTGACTTGCAACCATCTTTAACATCAGTTCTAGAGGATTCAGTCTCTTTGATTACAGGTGCTAGGCCTGTGTGCTGTACATACATATATGCAGTCAAAACACTCATATACATAAAACAATAAAAGATTGTTTTAAACATGTATGTGCAGAACAACAGCGCTCAGTTTGAACAGCTTATACCTATAACTCCAGCTCCAGGGACTCTGGATTTTCAACACACACACACACACACACACACACACACACACACACACACACACGTATAAATAAAAAATAAAAATGAAACTTTTTTTTGGTTTCTCTATGTAGCTTGGAGCCTTTCCTGGAGCTTACTCTGTAGTCTATGCTGGCCTCGAGCTCACAGAGATCTGCCTACCTCTGCCTGCTGAAATTAAAGGCTTGTGCCACCACTGCCTGGCCTGAAATAAAACTCTTAATAAAAGGAGCCCAGGTGTAGTGATGTATACTTTAATTCCAGACTCGGAAGGCAGAGGCAGGAGGATCTCTGTGCATTTGAGGCCAGCCTGGTCTAAACAGTTCTAGACCAGCCAAGGCTACATAGTGAGGGTCTATCTCAAAACAAATCAAAAATAAAAACCAACCACCACCACCCCACCCCACCCCCGCCCCGAAAAAATCCAAAGGCCTGAAAGAGAAAGGACATTCGGGATTCTGTTTTAAAGTGTGGCGGCTCCACAGAGCTGGGGGAACTTGCCTTTGATGTGGCTTCATTTCATCACCTTGAGGATAGTCCGTGGGCTTAGCACAGCACAGACTTCCCGGGTCATATCAGGGAGTAAATGCGGCAATAATCCCCGCAAAGCTGCTTGGAGGCCTCCTGGCGCCAGATCATAGCTGCATCTGTCTTTGCTGTTATTATTGTTTAGCAAGCTGCACTTCGGGCCTGGCATGCGGCAGAGAGTGAAGACCGACCCCCGAGGAGCTGACAGTCTGCCCGTGGAAACAGATATTAATCCCATCATCATGCTAATGGCCGTGTAATTATAAACTGAGATAAGTGCTAAGAAAGA